TCTCTTTAATTTTTAAAAAAGGGAAATTTCCTTTAAAAAAAAAATTTGATAAATAAGTATTGTTTTTTTTCATCATTTTTTTAAAACTGTCAAATTCCCCATCTATGAAATTCTTTTCAATTGTTTCAGATTTTGACCATTCAAAAAAAAAATGGCAGAGAATTTTTCCATAGCTAAGGCGCAGGGGGAAAGGTACTGCATCATTTTGTTGATTTTTTCTTTTTTTAGATTTTTTTTAGTTTTTGTGTCTTTCTAAAAGGGTTTCAAGATTTTTTTCCCTTTGAAGATGTCAATTCAGCTGTATTTTTCTTCTTCCTCTTCTGCATTCACCCTTCAAAGGTCAGTTAACCTACTGTGTTGTGGTTTACAGCTAGGCTGCAGTATCTTCATCTTTTGGCCCAACACATCTAATTTTAGCAATCCTCTAAGTAGTTGCCTGCAGCTTGTAAGGGGAAACAGTGGGTCCATTCTTTTGTTTCCCCCATCATGGGGCTCAGGGTCACATCCATTGATCACTTGTCTCTTGAGCCATATTTCCACTTTCTATTTGGTGTCTTCTAATTCTGTTATTTGTTTTCAGGAGTTTTATTTAGATCTGAGTTATATTCTACCATAGAGTCATGTTCTGAGATAGAGTCATGTTCCGAGATAGAGTCATGTTCCGAGATAGAGTCATGTTCTGAGATAGAGTCATGTATTGATACAGAGTCATGTGCTGATACAGAGTCATGTACTGATACAGAGTCATGTACTGATACAGGGTCATGTACTGATACAGGGTCATGTACTGATACAGAGTCATGTACTGATACAGAGTCATGTACTGATACAGAGTCATGAACTGATACAGAGTCATGTACTGATACAGAGTCATGTACTGATACAGAGTCATGTACTGATACAGAGTCATGTACTGATACAGAGTCATGTACTGATACAGAGTCATGTACTGATACAGAGTCATGTGCTGATACAGAGTCATGTGCTGATACAGAGTCATGTACTGATACAGAGTCATGTGCTGATACAGAGTCATGTTCTGATACAGAGTCATGTACTGATACAGAGTCATGTTCTGATACAGGGTCATGTACTGATACAGGGTCATGTACTGATACAGAGTCATGTACTGATACAGAGTCATGTTCTGATACAGAGTCATGTATTGATACAGAGTCATGTTCTGATACAGAGTCATGTATTGATACAGAGTCATGTACTGATACAGAGTCATGTATTGATACAGAGTCATGTTCTGATACAGAGTCATGTATTGATACAGAGTCATGTACTGATACAGAGTCATGTATTGATACAGAGTCATGAACTGATACAGAGTCATGTTCTGATACAGAGTCATGTATTGATACAGAGTCATGTACTGATACAGAGTCATGTACTGATACAGAGTCATGTACTGATACAGAGTCATGTATTGATACAGAGTCATGTACTGATACAGAGTCATGTATTGATACAGAGTCATGAACTGATACAGGGTCATGTACTGATACAGAGTCATGTTCTGATACAGAGTCATGTTATGATACAGAGTCATGTACTGATACAGAGTCATGTACTGATACAGAGTCATGTACTGATACAGGGTCATGTACTGATACAGGGTCATGTACTGATACAGGGTCATGTTATGATACAGAGTCATGTATTGATACAGAGTCATGAACTGATACAGGGTCATGTACTGATACAGAGTCATGTACTGATACAGAGTCATGTACTGATACAGGGTCATGTGCTGATACAGAGTCATGTTCTGATACAGAGTCATGTTCTGATACAGGGTCATGTACTGATACAGGGTCATGTACTGATACAGGGTCATGTACTGATACAGGGTCATGTACTGATACAGGGTCATGTACTGATACAGGGTCATGTACTGATACAGGGTCATGTACTGATACAGGGTCATGTACTGATACAGGGTCATGTACTGATACAGGGTCATGTACTGATACAGGGTCATGTACTGATACAGAGTCATGTACTGATACAGGGTCATGTACTGATACAGAGTCATGTACTGATACAGGGTCATGTGCTGATACAGAGTCATGTATTGATACAGAGTCATGAACTGATACAGGGTCATGTACTGATACAGGGTCATGTACTGATACAGGGTCATGTACTGATACAGGGTCATGAGCTGATACAGGGTCATGTACTGATACAGGGTCATGTACTGATACAGAGTCATGTATTGATACAGAGTCATGTACTGATACAGAGTCATGTGCTGATACAGGGTCATGAACTGATACAGGGTCATGTACTGATACAGGGTCATGTACTGATACAGAGTCATGAACTGATACAGGGTCATGTACTGATACAGAGTCATGTTCTGATACAGAGTCATGTATTGATACAGAGTCATGTACTGATACAGAGTCATGTGCTGATACAGAGTCATGAACTGATACAGGGTCATGTACTGATACAGAGTCATGTTATGATACAGAGTCATGTATTGATACAGAGTCATGTACTGATACAGAGTCATGAACTGATACAGAGTCATGAACTGATACAGGGTCATGAACTGATACAGAGTCATGTACTGATACAGAGTCATGTACTGATACAGAGTCATGTACTGATACAGAGTCATGAACTGATACAGGGTCATGTACTGATACAGAGTCATGTTCTGATACAGAGTCATGTATTGATACAGAGTCATGTACTGATACAGAGTCATGTGCTGATACAGAGTCATGAACTGATACAGGGTCATGTACTGATACAGAGTCATGTTATGATACAGAGTCATGTTCTAATACAGAGTCGTTCTGATACAGAGTCATGTTATGATACAGCCATGTTCTGATACAGAGTCATGTTCTGATACAGTCATGTTCTGATACAGTCATGTTCTGATACAGTCATGTTCTGATACAGTCATGTTCTGATACAGTCATGTTCTGATACAGTCATGTTCTGATACAGAGTCATGTTCTGATACAGTCATGTTCTGATACAGTCATGTTCTGATACAGTCATGTTCTGATACAGGGTCATGTTCTGATACAGTCATGTTCTGATACAGTCATGTTCTGATACAGTCATGTTCTGATACAGTCATGTTCTGATACAGTCATGTTCTGATACAGTCATGTTCTGATACAGTCATGTTCTGATACAGGGTCATGTTCTGATACAGTCATGTTCTGATACAGTCATGTTCTGATACAGTCATGTTCTGATACAGAGTCATGTTCTGATGCAGTCATGTTCTGATACAGAGTCATGTTCTGATACAGTCATGTTCTGATACAGAGTCATGTTCTGATACAGTCATGTTCTGATACAGTCATGTTCTGATACAGAGTCATGTTCTGATACAGAGTCATGTTCTGATACAGAGTCATGTTCTGATACAGTCATGTTCTGATACAGAGTCATGTTCTGATACAGTCATGTTCTGATACAGAGTCATGTTCTGATACAGAGTCATGTTCTGATACAGAGTCATGTTCTGATACAGAGTCATGTTCTGATACAGAGTCATGTTATGATACAGAGTCATGTTCTGATACAGAGTCATGTTCTGATACAGAGTCATGATCTGAGATAGAGTCATGTTCTGAGATAGAGTCATGTACTGATACCGAGTCATGTACTGATATAGTCATGTTATGAGATAGAGCCATGTTCTGAGATAGAGCCATGTTCTGAGATAGAGTCATGTTCTGAGATAGAGTAATGTTCTGAGATAGAGTCATGTTCTAAAATAGTCATGTACTAATATAGAGTCATGTTCTGAGATAGACACACACTCTACAGTAATGAATGAATCAATCAATAACTGACATCATTGCATTCGAAACATTCCCACATGTGCTCCATCCCTTGCTTCAGTAACCAATAAAGGATTGACATGCTAATAGTTCGAGTTGCAACCTGGTTAAAGTCTGCCTCAGTTTTCCCCTCAGTGTTGTCCCCTTAGTGGTGTCCCCTCAGTGTTGAATTTCTCCCAGGTCTAAAAGTCACAAAAACATTGTTCTTTTCAATAAATCGCCCGTCGCAGGAAACAGACCTGGTATCCCAATGATCATGAAATTGTCAGGCTCGTTCACTAACTTTTTAACTACAGTGCTGCACTTGTTAACACTAGAGGCTGGTTAAAATTGTTAACAGTAGAACTTGATTAACGTTGTTGACACCTAACATCAGAAACACTGTTTGATTGTTGATATTTTTCAGGAGATTTGCTGCCCCTGCGGGAATGTCAAAAGAAGAACAGGAACAGAGGCTAATTTATAAGAAAATATTACAGTACGAACAGGATGCAGTGAGTCTGCTTAGTTGTTGTTGTTGTTGTTGTTGTTGTTATTTTTGTAAATAGATGTGACATTGACTGAATATATTTGTTACATTTGATGACTAATCTGATTTGTACAAAGTAAGGAAAATAAGATAGAGAGGGCGTTAGGTGAGTTCCACCCACTACCAAGGATATAACCGCTTGCCATGCATTAGTTGATAGTTTATGCCTATATTAGTTTTGTAGCTATTGTTTTTACAAAAAGAGGTAGCCAATCCCAAGCCTAACCCTACCCTTAGTCAGCTCTTACGACATACCTGGTAGTGTGCAGTATTACTCTTCTTTGATTTCGGTGAGAGCCTCGATAATTTGTCCAATATTTAACTGCATACATTAAATTCTTCACCAACAGACCTGGTTGAAACAGTGGAGAAGCAAATTGGAAGCCAACCCACAAGACCCTATTTTGATCAGTCAGTTGGTGCAGGAGATTCTGCGGTGTTCCGATCACCCTTTCACTGAATTACTTCACAAGTACCAGATGCAGATATATCAGAGGCTGTATCCCCTCATAGCCAACAAGCACCAGGAAATAGACATCGTCCAGGTTGGTGTCTTGTCAACATTTAAGCCTGCTAAATCAACATTTACAATTTGCCATGTCAACATTTATAGTATGCCACTTCGACATTTACAACATGCTAAATCAACATTTATAACACGTCATGCCAACATTTACAACACGTCATGTCAACATTTACAACATGTCATGTCAACATTTACAACACGTCATGTCAACATTTACAACATGTCAGGGCAACATTGACAACACATCACACCAACATTTACAACATGTCATGTCAACATTGACAACACGTCGTGCCAACATTTACAACATGCCATGTCAACATTGACAACATGCCATGTCAACATTGACAACATGCCATGTCAACATTTACAACATGCCGTGCCAACATTTACAACATGCCATGCCAACATTTACAACATGCCATGTCAACATTTACAACATGCCATGTCAACATTTACAACATGCCATGTCAACATTTACAACATGCCATGCCAACATTTACGACATGCCATGTCAACATTTACGACATGCCATGTCAACATTTACAACATGCCATGTCAACATTTACAACATGCCATGTCAACATTTACAACATGCCATGTCAACATTTACAACATGCCATGTCGACATTTACAACATGCCATGTCGACATTTACAACATGCCATGTCAACATTTACAACATGCCATGTCAACATTGACAACATGCCATGTCAACATTAATGTATTCTAGCGTTCCACATATGAAATGATGGCCAGTCTGCTTCTTCCTCAATTTTCGTTCCAAAAAAATTTCTAGAAAAAAATCTGGAAATTGTCTGGTACATATTTTCATGGGAACGGCCGTAGAGTAATGGTTAGACACTTGCTTGCTAGCCTCAAGGACAAGGATTTAAATTTGCTTGGGGTCAGATTTTGTGTTCATAATTAAGATTGTCTCCCAAATGAACACAGCATAAAATAGGTACCAGGCAATGTCCTGGAAAGTAAAGGCGGCCGGCAGGATGTTGACCACATCACTCACTGAGTACTGGCGGGTCTGTAGATCCAGAACTGGCAGATTTAGAAACATTTTATTTCACATTGAAACACAATTTTATGAGGCCAGGTTAACCCTAGGGGGAACACGGGGGGATGGAGGTGAGGAGGGTCTCTGCATGTACAGGGGATTGAACTCTAATTACTTTGTTTGGGCGGCAGGCAAGGCCCACTAAACAGAATACCATTGCAGTGACTGTGAGACACAGAAGTAACTACTTGTAATCTTTGTTTTCCTGCTGCCTTTACCTCTCAGTGCGGGAGAGCTGAGTGGTCTCGAGGCATGGTGTCCGCCTCATGCTGGAGGTTCCAGGTTCAACCCCCAGTAAGGGTTGGAATTTTTTCACGTTGACTTGGACTTCTAGTAATTCCCCCAGGTCTCTGGGTAGTGAGGTCAGATGCCTGTGTGCATTGTTGCACACGTAAAAAAATCACTTGGCAGTTGGAAATCAAAAAGAGTAGCCTAACAGCGTTGCACAGGCAAAATTTGGAGTAAAAAATCTACCCAAAATATTTCAGGATCCTCTCCTGTGCTACAGAGCCTGTGCACTGTGTTGAGCTTCTTCGGACTCGGATTTGAGTTAGAAGAAAAACGGAGCACTTATGAGTTATTACCCGTGTATCATGATTTTGACCCGTTGTTCAAAGTTTAAACCCATCAGTGCCTGGCCGTTCTTGGATGATGTTTCAGACATGTTAAGTGATGGTATAACTATTTGTAATGTTTGTTTTCTAGGTGCCTTTACCCCTCAGTGCCTGGCCGTTCTTGGATGATGTTTCAGACATGTTAAGTGATGGTATAACTATTTGTAATGTTTGTTTTCTAGGTGCCTTTACCCCTCAGTGCCTGGCCGTTCTTGGATGATGTTTCAGACATGTTATGTGATGGTATAACTATTTGTAATGTTTGTTTTCTAGGTGCCTTTACCCCTCAGTGCCTGGCCGTTCTTGGATGATGTTTCAGACATGTTATGTGATGGTATAACTATTTGTAATGTTTGTTTTCCAGGTACCTTTACCCCTCAGTGCCTGGCCGTCCTTGGATGACGTATCAGACACGTTATGTGATGATATCCAGAGTCCAGTCTCCACAAGCACAGACAAACCAGAACCAACAAGTCTGTGTTCTTTGAAAGATGGCTATGGGAAGGTCAGCCAACAGAGTAGCGAAAACAGCACTGGAGTAAACTCAAGCAAGACAGAACATCATGTTGATGAGAATAAGAATCGTTTGAAGTTCAGTAATAAAAAGGTTGAAGTTATCGATATTGACTCAGATTTACACCCATTATTTGATCAGTCTGAGTCAGAATGCTCCACAAAGAATCGGATAGAGGACAACCAAGTTATCTGTGACTTGTCAAATGAAAGTAAAGCTGTGTCAGATGTTGGCCACGAGTCTCCAGGCTTGTTGCAGGAAACTGAGAATCCTTTAACCTCCAATAGTCCAGCCATTTTGCCAGATTCTGATGTACAAGAAGATCTCAAAAATTTGATATTTGGTAACAGTTTGGTCGGTGGAAATATTCATCAAATGAATAACAACGACGGGGACCAGAGCAGTGATGATGTTGGGGACAGAACATTGTGTGAAGATCAGGTTTCTAAAGTGGAGAGCATCAGAAATTTGTGTGATGGAGTGTCACAGAAAGCAGATAACACCAGCAGTAGAACGGACAAGCTTGCAGTAGACAGGGGTAATGCAGCAGAGAGTACAAGAAATGTTTGTGATGGAGTGTCACAGAAAGCAGATAACACCAGCAGTAGAACGGACAAGCTTGCAGTAGACAGGGGTAGCGAAGCAGAGAGAACAAGAAATGTTTGTGACGGAGTGTCACAGAAAGAAGATAACACCAGCAGTAGAACGGACAAGCTTGCAGTAGACAGGGGTAATGCAGCAGAGAGTACAAGAAATGTTTGTGACGGAGTGTCACAGAAAGAAGATAACAGTAGAATGGACAAGCTTGCAGTAGACGGAGGTAGCGAAGCAGAGAGTACAAGAAATGTTTGTGATGGAGTGTCACAGAAAGAAGATAACACCAGCAGTCGAACGGACAAGCTTGCAGTAGACCATGGCAAGGAACTAGAGTCTCAGATGTCCTGGGAGAGACGACAAGCACAGCTTTTAATGCGACAGGTGACGAAAGACTACAGCAGCTACCAGTCGGGCGACTCTGATTATGATGAAAATAAACTAGACTATCTCTTTGATGGTAGTGAAGAGGAAGATGATGACGGATACGGATGGTTTGATGATAACGCCAGTGATCAGTCAGGATATCAGAGTGGCCTTCAGCAAAGAACAGTTCTGAACCAAGATCAAAGCTCCAGTCTCGACTCTGGCATTAGTGACACGTCTGTCAGCCAGCCTGACAGGGAGAGCCAGGGTAGGGGCTTCTCCTCGAACGTTGACCTAGAGAACAAACATCGGAAAGACAAGCAGTTCCAGAAGCTGAGTCAAGAGGCTTACCTGCGCCATTTGAAGTCTATATCAGAGGATATTCATTGTTATCTGGGTATGTTACATTTATTGTTAACTGGGTATGTTACATTTATTGTTATCTGGGTATGTTACATTTATTGTTATCTGGGTATGGTGCGTTTATTGTTTTCTGGGTATGTTACATTTTTTGTTAACTTGGTGTTTATTGTTATTTGGGTATGTTGTTTTTAGTGTTACCATTATTAATATTAGGGATTTTAGTTATGTCTAGATATGTTAAGGATTTTATTGATTTCTAGGTATGTTAAGGGTTTTAGTGATATCTAGATATGTTAAGGGTTTTAGTGATATCTAGATATGTTAAGGGTTTTAGTGATATCTAGATATGTTAAGGATTTTATTGATTTCTAGGTATGTTAAGGGTTTTAGTGATATCTAGATATGTTAAGAGTTTTAGTGATATCTAGATATGTTAAGGGTTTTAGTGATATCTAGATATGTTAAGGATTTTATTGATTTCTAGGTATGTTAAGGGTTTTAGTGATATCTAGATATGTTAAGGGTTTTAGTGATATCTAGATATGTTAAGGGTTTTAGTGATATCTAGATATGTTAAGAGTTTTAGTGATATCTAGATATGTTAAGAGTTTTAGTGATATCTAGATATGTTAAGAGTTTTAATGATATCTAGATATGTTAAATGTTTTAGTGATATCTAGATATGTTAAGGATTTTATTGATTTCTAGGTATATTAAGGATTTTTGTGATACCTGGATATGTTAAGGGTTTTAGTGATATCTAGATATGTTAAGGGTTTTAGTGATATCTAGATATGTTAAGAGTTTCAGTGATATCTAGAAATGTTAAGAGTTTTAGTGATATCTAGATATGTTAAATGTTTTAGTGATATCTAGATATGTTAAATGTTTTAGTGATATCTAGATATGTTAGGATTTTTAGTGATATCTAGGTATGTTAAGGGTATTATGATATCTAGATATGTCAAAAGTTTAAGCTATATCTAGATATGTTATGAGTTTTAGAGAGAGAGAGAGAGAGAGAGAGAGAGAGAGAGAGAGAGAGAGAGAGAGAGAGAGAGAGAGAGAGAGAGAGAGAGTTAGATTCAGGTAGTTAAGATTAAAGACCATCCTTAATGTCCATGTATATTTCTTACTGTCCATTAGAAAAGCTGCTGGTGATAATGACCATTTCCTATGAACCACTGGACACTCCTGTGGGCAAGGATCAGTGTGCTGTGTCACTGGAGGAGCCTTTCTTTAAACCTATCTGGAAAACTCTGTTGAGACTTTTTAGGTAAGGCTGTCATCTTTGCACATCTGCTTTATAGTGTGCTTTGCCCGGCTCTCTAGCGTAGTTGGCTAAACCGGATTGTGCGGTGACCGAATGACGAACTCCTTGTGGTCCGGGTTTACTCCCAGGGGTGGGCAGAAAAGCCACATTTCTCTACGGTATTTACAATGGAATCAAGGCCAAAAGGTTGCGATATCCATAATACCGAGCTTAAGGGTTAACAACTCATGGCTTCTGGATACTAAAAAAAAATGGTGTGCTTTATGAGATAATTTGCGCAGTTGTTGCTATTTCATTAAATGGACGGAGAGGGTGCAGAGGTGAACTACTGCTGTGGTGGTGCGCTAGGACTCAGACTGCTCAACACTTATCTACCCCTGCCGAGGTCAGCCTAGAAATAGGGTCCCCTGCCAGAAACATGGCTAATGTGAATTTGATCATTAATTCCTTCCAAGTGTGAGTGCATCTACCTGAGAGGCAAGAAACCAACAATCTGCACACAAGATCTGGAAAACATATGTGCATGTAAACTCAAGTGCTGGAACAAAACCAAAGTTCAGACATGAATAAATAACCAGAATTTTCTGCTGCAGTTTACATGTTTCAGAAGTGTAAGGCCTCCATTTGGCTAGAGTTCTCTTGTACCCATCTGTATGCTTCTTCATTGACCAACAAATAATTCTACCTCTGCTAGGGATTAAACTTGGGCCTCTGTCTTGATAGACTTGTTTGCCACCATAATTTCCGGCAGTACAAACACCGAGATTGTTTAGCCATCTAAGGAGAATGAATTTAACAATCCCGGCAGGGAGAACATACAGCATGAAAATGGAAACACCAGGAATCAGAGGCAGACCTAGAAGAAAATGGACTGAAGGAGTAACTGATAGCTTGACCTCACACCAAGCTACGGAGCATGCCCTAGCTCGACTACCTATCTTCTGCTAAAACCTAGCAGCACAAAGCAGATATTAACACAAGATGAAGAAGGTAAATCCAACAGTTGAATACATCAAGTCTGGGCCTATACTGATATGACATCCAGTTTTTATATGAGTGTCTGAAAAAGGATCAGTCATGGAAGAGTATGGGCACTAAACAAAGAAGTGTCATCTTTTGGTGAAATAACCAAATAAAAAATGTGTCTTCTGCTCTTTTCCAGAGTGGTCAACCACAAGCAGGAACTGATGCTGGCTTGTGTCATGACCAGACTGGCAGATTCAACCCCTGCAGATTTCAAAGTGTCACAGAAACTCTGGCTGACAGATCCAGCGTGCAAACCTTACCAGCGGGCCATCACTGAGCTGACCAATGTCCAGCAACATTACACCATGCTCAGCAAGCTAGAATGTGTCGGTCAGTAACAGCAGCTGATTTCACTACTAAAGGTTTTCTCTTTTTTCTTTAAAAGGAAATTTGCTGGCACTCGCAACAAGTGTCTGTTAAAATTGCACTGATTAAAAAAAGAAAAAAGTGCCAAAACTGCATACCATTGCATATTGTCAGAAAAAAGTCCTGGCCAAAATCAATGTCTTTTGTATATGATCTGGCTCAGAACTAAATAAACACAACAGAAAATGTGCCACCCCCCCCCCCCCCAAAAAAAAATTTTTTTTTTTTTTATTGAAGGCAAAGAAAGGTACGCACATATACAACCAAAACCTCCTATATGTGTTATGGTCCTAGAACGTGTCAAGTATCACAGGATTGTCTGATACAATACTTCTTTCTTCTTCATATTTAAACTTTGGCAGAAAGTCCTGCATGTTCGTATACTTCTGGACTTTGGCCCTATTCCAGAACTTGAGTATTGCATGCACATCCATTTTACAGATCTAGCTTGTTTATGTGCAGACTTTTGGTTCCTTACATTTTAGGCAGATGCACGTCACCTTCAGGGAGAAAAAAAAACGCGCCAACTCTACGTTGGCTAGACCTCTGGTAGACAGCCTGTTTCTGGAATGACCAGAAAAAGTTGTAGATAGACGATGACCAGAGTGAATCCTAGTCCTGATGTGCCACCAGTTGTGGTTCAGCACCAGGCATCCCTAAAAACATACAGAATATGATTTGAAACATTTCAGTTCAAATATGTGAAATTATTTTAGCTTTGTGTGGTGCTTCTATGGTCTTTAATTTTCATGCGCTTTTTTATGTGTGGTGATATTCTGCAGTGAAAGTGTGTCGACAGATTTGTGAATGTGTGGATGACTACTACAGCCAGAAACATGGCACTGGTGAATCAGCCAACAAGAAAGCCCCATCTGTGTAAGTCTAAGATAAGTGTGAATATCACAGCAAATTATGCCAAGCTTGTAATACATCATTAAGCATCAAATGTGAAATGTCATTAATCTTAGTACAGCTGGAGCCCCATTGTGTGTGTGTGTGTGTGCGTGCATGTGTGCATGCGTGTCGGGGGAGGGGGAAAAGTCTCACTGCCCCCCTTTCAAGCATGTCATAGGAGTTGACTAACTAGCAGCTTCGTTTGAAGTTGGAGTGAATTTTCCTGAGATGCAAGGAACCAACAGTCTGCATATATATAAGCCAGATCTGTGAAACAAATGTGCATGCAGGACTCAGATTTTGGAATAAGACTACAGTCCATACATGGACAAACAGTCAGAACTTTCTTTTGTAGTTTACAGCTGGTGAATGTGAAGAAGAAGAAGAAGAAGAAAGTACAGCTTCATATACACGGCTTACATTCCATAATGAAACTGACATAAGTGTATATTGTCATTTATCACTGCAGATTTATACCAGGCTTGCAGTCCATACTTAAGCAGTAAATGTAAAATATCATTTATTATAAACACGAACATCAACACTTATTGAGTGCGTGACATTCATGTGAAATATTTATGTAAGCAAATTATGTCAAGTTGAAGAAAAAAAACCATCTTCTAAATTATAACTATGAGAGTATTACCATGCAGTGACATTTAAACCACAGCACATAGATTATTGACAGCACTTTGATTATTGACAGCACATAGATTATTGACAGCACATAGATTATTGACAGCACATAGATTATTGACAGCAGTTAGATTATTGACAGCACTTACATTATTGACAGCACATAGATTTTTGACAGCACATAGATTATTGACAGCACTTACATTATTGACAGCACATAGATTATTGACAGCAGTTAGATTATTGACAGCACATAGATTATTGACAGCACTTACATTATTGACAGCACATAGATTTTTGACAGCACTTAGATTTTTGACATTATTGACAGCACATAGATTATTGACAGCACATAGATTATTGACAGCACATAGATTATTGACAGCACTTAGATTATTGACAGCACATAGATTATTGACAGCACTTAGATTATTGACAGCACATAGATTATTGACAGCACATAGATTTTTGACAGCACTTAGATTATTGACAGCACATAGATTATTGACAGCACATAGATTTTTGACAGCACATAGATTATTGACAGCACATAGATTATTGACAGCACATAGATTATTGACAGCACATAGATTATTGACAGCACATAGATTTTTAACAGCACATAGATTATTGACAGCACATAGATTTTTGACAGCACTTAGATTATTGACAGCACATATGTTATTGACAGCTCTTATATTATTGACAGCACATAGATTATTGACAGCACATAGATTTTTGACAGCACATAGATTATTGACAGCACATAGATTTTTGACAGCACTTAGATTATTGACAGCACATAGATTATTGACAGCACTTAGATTATTCACAGCACATAGATTTTTGACAGCACATATATTATTGACAGCTCTTAGATTATTGACAGCACATAGATTATTGACAGCACATAGATTTTTGACAGCACATAGATTTTTGACAGCACATAGATTTTTGACAGCACTTAGATTATTGACAGAACATAGATTATTTTGGCACATAAATAATAGACAGCACATAGATAGATTATTTATATTTTAGCACATAAATAATAGACAGCACATAGATTATTGACAGCACATAGATTATTTATAGCACATAGATTGTTGACTGTTTTACCCCTGCAGGCTGCTGCTGCAGGTTTAATACCCCTGTGCCTCAGATTATCAAACCCTAAGTTCCAGTCTAAGAGCTTAAATCTCAGATACCCCATTCAACCTCCTAGAACGTTATATTTAGGATAACCTTACCAGCTACTAGCCATGAGACCTTAATAAATCTCTTCTGGCTCAGAGATCTGAGTGCAGGCAGTTTTTTTTGGGGGTGAAGGGCAGTTTACCAACTAGGCCAAATATTACCTTTCAGTTTTGTACGAGTAAGATCATAATGCAGCGTGTAAATGTTACTTCTGGGCGGCTTATATGACAACAGCTCAGCAACAATACTTGTACCAGCATTTCTACATTTGGGAGCCAAAATTATACTGGCTATTCTCACACATATATTTCTGTGTTAGGGGAGCCGATGACCTACTGCCTGTACTCAGCTATGTGGTTGTTCAAAGTGCCATGCCTCAGCTGTCGGCTGAATGCCATGCTATGTCGGAATTTATCCATGAAGGGTAAGCATTGTTTGTGTTAAAAGTAACGGTTGTCAGCATATGATAGTTCTTGTTTGTTAGCATCACACCGGCCACCTTTACTTCCGTGGACATTACCTAGAATCTAGGCTGGGTCAACCGGAAAGGTAACCATTGCTTACCTAACATGGAATTGCAGCATTAGACTATATGGTTTTTTTCCAAAGATCACTTCATAATGTAGGAGTAGCTCCAGAAGTGGGAACTTTAATACAACTCTGGTAACCTAACAGCAGCACACAAGACTTGAGAGCCAAACTTGAATCATATGGGGTACTTGTTAAATTTTGCACCCCAGAAAGAGAGTGACTTCCCTTCCCATTCATGCCTCGTCGTGTCACAGGGCCTGTCTTATGTTGAGGGGGTGTCATGCTTAGTAAGCAGCCAGCAGTATGTCATATTTACTTGTTGTTGTCAGCGACCAACGATATTGCGTGTTCTATATTCCCTGATGTGAGCACTTGTAATGGCCCCAAAGCACCCAGAACTGGCCCTAACCCCAACTCTTCCCCGCCCCCTCCACTCCACAGCCTCAGCCTCCGTCCCACGAGAGAGTGAAGCCTATGTCCCACGACTGCATGCAGCCTATATATACGCTGCCAACAGTCGTGGGACACAGGGGTAGGGGGTTTAGGCCTTGGAGCCATTAAAAATGTTCCCATCTTGGAATATAGAACACCCAACATTGCCAGCCACTGACAACGAGAAAAATACGATGTTTTGCGGCTGCTTACTAAGCATGACACACCCGCAACTTAGGACAGACCCTGTGACACGAGGAGGCATGAATGAGAAGGGAAGTCACCCTCTTTCTAGGGCAGAAAACATTACTATAACCCATTTGAGAAAGAAAAAAAACCGACTAACCTTCAGTCGGGTTTTGTGACTTGCTGTCACATATCTTTTAATCAGTTTCTGTACCACTTAGAGACCCTCGTCAGTGTATGACATTCAGTCGGTTTCTTTAACAGTCAAATTATATGACTTAGTCAAATTATATTCAACTTAGGTAAGTTTCAGTAAATATATAAGATAAGTTCCTAGGCTTACATTCAGAATGTACTTTTTCACCTGTTCAATATTTTTCTGATTATGTATATTTATGTTTTTTTTGCATGCTACTTATTCAATGATTTGTTAATGTCAAACCATCGGCAGGTATATGATGGGGGAAGAAGGATATTGTTTGACCAGTCTGCGCACAGCCTTAAATTACGTCATCTCGTTGTTCCCATCTGTGGCCAGACCTGAAAACCAAAGTTGATATGTCAGTAAAATGGTAACGTATGAATCTGTTCTCACATGCAGGGTCATATTTAGATATGTGCAGCTGCACAGGGTGGCAACATTTTGAAGGTGGCAAAATGTAACTAGTATTTACAAATGTATAAATAAAGAAAAGGACATAGAATGAATGTCTCTACAGAAGCATTTTACATCCTACGTACAGGCCTGCCCACATAAGTCACTTATCATGAACTCTTATTTTCTTCATCATTCCGAGTCCTTGAGTCCCATTGCTGCAGAAATCGCTCACCGCCATTCATCTCTCTGGTTGGCCTTTTTCTTTACAGTTGGTGACACCAAGTGTATGTAGGTCTGCTTGGATGTTATCTCTCCATGATCTTCTTGGTCTGCCTCATGGTCTGCGGCCATTCATCTCTCTGGTTGGCCTTTTTCTTTACAGTTGGTGACACCAAGTGTATGTAGGTCTGCTTGGATGTTATCTCTCCATGATCTTCTTGGTCTGCCTCATGGTCTGCGGCCATTCATCTCTCTGGTTGGCCTTTTTCTTTACAGTTGGTGACACCAAGTGTATGTAGGTCTGCTTGGATGTTATCTCTCCATTATCTTCTTGGTCTGCCTCATGGTCTGCGGCCATTCATCTCCCTTGTTTACACAGCTTTTACCTCTCTGTCCTCTGAAATTCTCTCAGTATGCCTCAGCCATTTCAGTCTATTATCTCTCATGATGCCATTGATCAGTGGGGATTTAAACAGATTAGAAATTTTCCCTATTGCTTCTCATTCTCCATTCCCCTCTTGGCTAAAAACATCTCAAATTTACAAACTCTGTTTAGAGTTCATTCATTCAGTAGCATGTCCCTCGCGGAACCTCGCTGCCATAACAACCCTCCGGAAAACCTTCCTATCCTGAGCAAGATGTCCTGCGTCTGATACACCCATCTGGAGATCATCTGCCACATCCTGCACCCATCTTCTCCTTGGCCTTCCTCTTCCTCTCTTCCCAGGCATATACCCCTCCATTATTGTTCTCTCTAGACTTCCATGACGTTTCAAGTGACCAAAATATTTCAATTTTCTTTGTTTTATTGTCTTTACTAGCCAACCCTCTTCAATATTCAGCTCTTGAAGTATGGATGCATTTGTTCTTTTCTTTACCCAAGATATTCTTAGAACCTGTCTGTAACATTTATATTCAAATGCATTTATGTTTAGAGTAAATCTACTAATTAAGACATTCTGCTAGTCAATCAAAGATGTAATCAAAAGGAAACACCCTGAAGAAAAAAGAACAACAATTGGTTTCTGCTCCATGACAGTGTGCCATCACATTTTATCTGTTGTTACCTGGCAATGTAGTTTCCTCATCTAAAATTGACACTGAAAGGGCAGCAATTCAAGGATGCAAAGGACATTGCCACCACTGTCACAAACCAACTTTAGAGGTGTCAAACGATGGATTCCAGCAATGTTTTCAACAACTAAATCAGTGTTGCAGAAAGTGTGTAGTTGCCAAAGTAAACTATTTATTTTAGAAAAACCTAGTATCAGTAATTACATTTTGGCTTAATCTTCAATACAGAACACACAAATTCCTGGAACTTTTTGAAGCTGTCTCGTATATTCTGACACTGTGCAGGTGCAAACAGTGCTGAACTGAATTAATCAGCTAGTCAGGGACAGACCAGTGCACAAAAACGATTGATCTTGATCCTGGATTATCAGCATCTCCAAGGGAAAGGATTAAGTCAGATGTGTGGCTCATATTTCATTGATATATTTGATTGAGCTACTTCAAGTAGTCCTTCTTGTTGTTAGGTTGTACAATATATATTTTGATATGATGCTCTGCACTTTAGTACTTTGCATCCATGCATCATATCTGTGAACATCTCAATTAGTATATGTGATCACTAATAGTAGTTGCTTCATCGTAACGCATTTGGGAGAGTGTGAAACTGATGACCTCAAGATTTCTGATCATTCCTTGATTTCGGCAAATATCCTTTGGCCAGCATTATTCATTAGGGAGTCTCTTGTGGTGAAATGGCCAAGCTGTTTGCTTCACGTTCTGAAGGTTGTGGGTTCAATTCATGCATGCATTGTAAGCTTCATGAGTGCAGTTTGTTACCCTGGGATTCATCGTCAGAGCTATAGGGCTTGTGCTTAGTGTGACGCTCTTGGCAGGAGGATAGTCATTCTGCAGAGAGAGACTGAGCCATGTGGGATAAAACCCAGTGCAGTGAAGTCAGTCCTCTCCCAACTTTAACTTGTAACTAATAGTAGTATCAGCCTGATAGTCTGTCTGTAGTTGTATCTATGCATCATAGGATAATAACTGTGTACCCCTACAGTAGTATCTGTTTGTATTATAACATTTGTTTTCTCTCTTGTTTTAGAGGGGTCGAATTCAAGGCTGTTGAGACTTCACAAACATGAGCGGGTGCTACCCCTCTTCTGTTAGAAACAGCTTCTTGAAACCAGCATTAAAGAGACATGTATTTTTGGAGATGCCCATTCCTCTACTAGTTACATGGATGTCTGCTGTTTCATCTGCTAATTACATGGATGTCTGCTGTTTCATCTGTTAGTTACATGGATGTCTGCTGTTTCATCTGCTAGTTACATGGATGTCTGCTGTTTCGTCTGCTAGCTACATGGACGTCTGCTGTTTTATCTGCTAGTTACATGGATGTCTGCTGTTTCATCTGCTAGTTACATGGATGTCTGCTGTTTCATCTGCTAGTTATATGGATGTCTGCTGTTTTGTCTGCTAGCTACATGGATGTCTGCTGTTTTATCTGCTAGTTACATGGATGTCTGCTGTTTCATCTGCTAGTTACATGGATGTCTGCTGTTTTATCTGCTAGTTATATGGATGTCTGCTGTTTTGTCTGCTAGCTACATGGATGTCTGCTGTTTTATCTGCTAGTTACATGGATGTCTGCTGTTTTATCTGCTAGTTACATGGATGTCTGCTGTTTCATCTGCTAGTTACATGGATGTCTGCTGTTTCATCTGCTAGTTACATGGATGTCTGCTGTTTCATCTGCTAGTTATATGGATGTCTGCTGTTTTGTCTGCTAGCTACATGGATGTCTGCTGTTTTATCTGCTAGTTACATGGATGTCTGCTGTTTCATCTGCTAGTAACATGGATGTCTGCTGTTTCATCTGCTAGTTAAAGTCTGCTGGTTGTTGATGTATCTGCTATTTCATCATTTATGTGTAGTATGTTATCTTTGTTCGTACAGTGAATCTTTGCCCCCATCAAAGACAAACAGTGGAGGTGGAGAGTGAGAAGCAACAATGAAATTCATCATCTGTTTAAATCACGACTTATTACTGGAAACAAACAGCTTATAGATTGTGATGATTGGAGTATATAGAGAGAATGGCAAATAAGAGACAGACAAGAACTACGTACACATAAGAGTTGGATGGGAGTAGACCACAAGGCAGACTTAAGTGGAGAGATAATACACAGGCAGATTTACAGACACTTGGAGTTACCAAAGGGCTTGGAATGCTGAAGAAGAACAATGTTATCTTTATGATGTGTGTGTGTGTGAGTAGATGAATGATCATTTACCAGTATTGTGTCTAATATTTTACAATGAAGTGTATAATTTTCTCAAGGGAACATCATTACTTGGTGTTGGGTTCTGTCTTAGTCAGTGCATTTAATTGTTTTATTTATAGGAGATGGATTTTCAGTATTTTTTTTTAAGTTTCTTCTACAGTGTTGAGTGGTTTTTGCTTGACTGAAAATAGGATGTTCATAATTGACCTACAAATAGATAAGTGATTGATAATATCTGAGTTAGTTTCTCCTTGTGCTGTGTGGTCAGCTGAAAACATCTGTAGTTAGAGCTACTACTGCTGTTCATAATACTCTGCTTCCCTATTTGGGTTTTGTGACCACTATTTTGGGGAGGGGGGGGGGGTGTGTTAAACCCACTGCCTTCTCTAACGAGCGTGTAGTAAGAGTGGACTAATTCCCCCCCTTTTTTTTTAAATCGGAGGGCATCTGCCTGAGAGGCAAGGAACGTACAGTTTGCATTCAAATGGGCTAGGTCTGTAAAATGGATGTGCACACAAAATTCACTTTCTAGAGCAAGAGTAAAGTTCAGAAGTGGACGAACAACCAAAACTTTCCACCACAGCTTAGATGCAGGGAATATGACCCCCAAAAATACTCTGTAGATTCATTGTTCTGAACTTGTGGTGTTGGGCTGGTTACTCACAGTTCAGAAATGAGACTAGTAACCATGGAAATGAGGAGTCTTGAAAATGCTAGGAGAGTGACGAGAAGAGGTAAACTCAGTTAGGACTAAGGAGCACGAGCCCTTGTAGCACAGACACTGAATGACGTACAAAGACAGTTCAACAGAAAGTTGTCCACTTAGAAGGCCTTGTAGTACCACACCATACAAAGCATTAACAACAAGAGAAGAAAAAAATCAAACCATAGGTGGACCAAGAACAAGGTGGAGAGATGTTCTGAATTGATATCGATGGAACCAGTTGTTGGTGTAATCATCACATATGTGTTGGATCTGTAATATGGTGTGACTGCTACTGTTTGTGTGATGAAGTCACAGGTCCTGTACAATTAAGATAAACCTGATCTATTGCTAACACAAACATACAATGTTGTTGAATGGCAGGGCATGGCATAAAGTCATTGTTTCATACTGAGCTTTTATATAAAATAAAAACTATTTATACAAATGTTTTGGTGTTACTGTGCCTTTGGAGTTAATACAAAAGCAGGCCAAGCGAGGGATCATGCTGCATGGACAAGACATGGTCTCTACAATACTGCCCAAGTTTGGGGCTGTGAAGAGGAGGAACTTCATCCTTGGCATTAATGGACTGTGACTCCAGTGCCTTACTACAGCACTTGATAACACTGTTGTCTGACAAGTACCATCAACAAGAATATATAAAGTGTCAGCTAGTTGTTTGATGTAGTTCTAATTTTGCAGACTTTCCCCAGCATCATGTGGATCCTGGGA